AAGGTGACTAACTTTATCAAATGACCCACACTTGTTTAATGGCTGTAATTTTCATACCAGTCGAAAGGTGTAAAATGAAAAACTCAGATGAATGTCGTTCTTTGTGTTATTCCATTTATTTTTAAAAAGTCATTCTATCTGTGATTTAATGGGTAAAATCATTGTATAGCTCGGTACAGGAGGTGTCGACTGACCCTTCATCGGTTTATGTACTACTTTTAGTTTGGAGGGAAGTAATTGCACTTTGACTGGTACCGATTACTGTGCATTGTCTCATAATTTATCCTTGAAATTAGTTGTCTCATTTTTAGGAATTATGGTGTTAGTTGTTGGCAGTAATCTTCGTTCCATCTATTTTTATGCTTGTTTGGAGTAAACAGCTAAGTTTATCTGCAACCACGAGGGTACGGTTGTATTCTTTGTGATTCGTCGAACCTCAATCACAAAGGTCCGCTGACTGATGAACTTGGACCAGTGCTGAACACAAAGAACTAGAGAAACCTAAATAATCACTCATGCGTGACGCATTCGGTAAATCACCATTAAATCTACTGTAAAGATTTCAGGAGAGAAATGCACATCAGTAGGGTACCAAATGTCAGGATTTCAACCTTTATTGGAAGACAGGCATTCATATATTCGTAGAATATGATAGAAACTAAGACTGGAAAAAGTCCATTTCCTAACTTCGACTCAACAGTCCTACTCACTGCTCTGTCTCTCGCTCTCTATGTATACTGTATTCTCACTCATGTTTTAAGACCTAAGTCTCTGTGAATCAATTTCAATCAACTAATCTTGTTTATTAGTATCTCTTGATACTTTTAATTCTCCTTTGTTATACAGCATTGAAATGATATGGCTCTGTTGGCATATGGGCTTTTATCCAGATGCCTAGATATTCCATGGTTGCTAGACACAAGCAAGTCAGTTATGAGCGTGTTCACACTAAAATTGACAAGCATGCAAAGTATCGTGAAGTCAGCTTGCTGAAAAGTATCTTAACGAAAAAATTCATCTTGAAAGTAATCAGATGCTATTTATAAAGAAACTCAAGAATTGGGGAAATTCAGTTAAAACCTTATCTATGACAGATATGATTCACTACTAAAAACAGAAATTTGATCAAAATAGGCGGTGAAGGCTGAGAAGGAAATGAACTTCAGTAGTCTATCCTTTATACGACAGATATTCAAAATAATTCCGTGATGAATATCATCTAGAAATCGATCAATCTCCACAAACCTCCAGTGCTCATTGATGGCTTGCTTCAAGACAGATTCGTTGAAGCCCCAGGGATAAGCATTGATCTCTGGGGTGAAACAAGTTGGATGTAATTACGAATGCTCGCTTATGGCATTGGATAATGGTTGATGCGGTTCGCTAATTCACAGAATTAGGAAATGTGGGTAGTTTACTTTTCAACACATCGGCCTATCTGTAACGTTCTTACTGCGAGATCTATTTGTCATAGGTTCGATCCATAGCAACGTCTTTGGTGTTCACTGCCAAGGAATGTTATAGAAGAGGACAAAACATCTGACCAGTGAGTGATCTAAGGTTTCCAAATCCAAATGATATGAGTCCGTGATGAGTACCAACTGACTGAAATGTATAAAACAGACACTTCTTATAGACGCATTGCATATTTTTTTCCAGTTTATTCACGAATTCCTATTTTCATCTTCATTGATTTGAAGTATAATTCGGAGGGTTAAAATCTCAATCATTTGGCTACAATTAGAAAGCATATGTTCATTAGGCTGTATCAGTCTCGAATGGTCGTTTGACATAAAAGGGTGCGTGAATGTGTCAGTTATGTTTTTGGAAGATCAATAAATTAGTTTAATATTGTAAATTATTAAAAACCTCCGTTGCGCAGTTAGAACAACTACATTCAGAATAATTCAACAGTTCGTCAACTAGGATATACGCTTTAAGTTTCTAAGGACTGAATAATAATGAAAAACATAAAACCAGTGGTAACTGAGTACCAAGTGATATTCTGTTAGACACTGGGATGGAATCCACAGGCAAGAATGCAAGATTATCGATTGTGGAAACTAAAAGGTTATGCTTTTGTCATCAAAACACTCCTAGTCGTCAACTGGGAAAAACAGTCGAATTAACAATAATAATAAATAAGAATCTGTGACAATAAAATACATAAGTGGGTGATAGTAGGGGTATATCATGAACTAAAAAAAGTAAGAAGAGATGTAAAGCAAGGAATTTCAATCAAATGACTAAACGTGAAAGTACTCATCAGAGGATCCGAAGACCCTAGGCAGCTTGATTCCCCATAGTGTCATAAGTCCACACTGTTGAGGATTATCAAAAGTGGGAAGAAACACCTGTCCAGGCGCTTAATGACTTTCTACTTCACATCAGTCCTCGGTGAAAAACTGCTTTTAAACTGACTAATCACTTAGTCAATCAATGTCGCTAACCTTACTATACTGCCAACGATGAGACATACACTAAAGATAAATGGTGAGCTACTACTAACAGAATTCAAACTTCGCGTTTCACCTCGTTTGGGACTCGTCAGCTAGATGCATCTACCTCTCAGTTAGTGGTATTATGCCTACAGAAAGTCAATCCAATCAGCTATTGCTTCTAATGTTAGAGCGTTATCCACTAGGCTGCTGAGTCTGCCTGAGTGAAATCATAAAAAGTACGCGAACGATACTAATTCAATGAGACACTTCGACTGGATACTAATAGCAACTCTTCTCCCTCAGTACCTTATACTACGCTGAGTCATGAAAATATCAGAAGTTAAAAGCTGAAGTGTAACTGCAAGGTAGACATTTTATTCGACAAAAATATATCTGTTATGCACAGTTTTGCTGAAAATATAGGCCACTAGATGAAAATTTGAACAGCTTAATCTGATTGGTCAAGTGTAGGATAAAACTGTCCAATAAAGATTTATGACCGAAATCGAAATTCAAAACTTTGGCCTTAGTGGCTGCTGACGTGAAGTGTTGAGTTCCACTTTGGCCATTTCCTCTCAGTCACCATAGCCACTGGTTGTGCAATGGTTATAGCTTTGATATTGGAGTTCTTTGTTTCAAGTTGTTAATTGTTTCTAACTGAAGTGATCCTCGGGGAAAAACAAGTTTCAAATCTAAAGCTATACCAATTGCAAAGGAAGCAGTTGTTTTGAGTCAGTATCCAAGGGGATAACGCTATGGAGTTGGAAGTGACGAGTAGTGAGCTCAAATTTCAATACTAACCTAGAGGCAAGTACATTTAGGTTATGAGTCTCAAATACCTGAAATACTGTTGGAACTACTCGCATAAAATGTTTCGTCACTAAGTTGTTCGAAATCTGTTATGTGACACCAATGGTAGTGTCATTAACTAAAGCATCCCGCTAATGAAAGCTAGTCAGACCCTTCAAAAAGTCTAGTCTTAGGGATTTTATATTCAAGGAAGGTGGGACTACAGAACTACTGTGGAAAAAACTAGAAGTGTAAAGTGATCAACTTCACACATCGAATTATTCTGAACGTGTGAACAGTAAGTTTACCCTTGCATGATTATGTGTAAAACGGTGATTAGTCCATGACGGTCTTCTAAATGATTTCCGCATAGAGGTGGTGAACACTAATATATTTGCATACATAACCTATCTTCTAAATGAGCTGAGGGAAGGTGATTTGGATACGTTTATTAAGGGTATCAGTTCAAAATGTGGAGATTTGCAGCAGCATACAAAGAACAAGTGGATAGAAGACGAATGACATTAAAGTCTCCGACCATTGATTCCTATCATCTGCAATGCGCCAAACAGGCTTCTTACACTTCTCTTCACGGTTTAGACCGGTAGGCATGGACTTCATGGACTGATGCCATGTCATCATCAAGGCATTGTTAGCCTTTTTCCGAGTCACTCCTACTTCACCTAATATCAAACAAAAGATAGCTGATGGCTTACAGTGTGCATCACATGTCTAAGGCATCTGGGTTTGTGAAGATTCTCAGCCTCATCTGCCGTCATGCCTTTATGGCCTAGTATTTTAAACCTAACCTGAACATTATTCATGATATGGCAGATACCATGCAGGTCTTTTGAACCAGGGCTCAGATTCCTGCTGTAAAAACCCATCTATATCTCCAGCAAACTATGGAAGTAGACAAGAAACTCAGACTTAATGTCTTATCCTATGCAATTTAAGCCATGTCATACAAAATATAAAGAGCAACAGAATTATGCCCCATTTGATTAGAGTTGACTAATAGAAGAGGGTGCTAGTCAACATTTACTGATGAATTTATTTTTTTACTGAAATTCCGTGAATTATTTCAATACACTGTTAATGCTGTCCATTGATTTATATGACGGTAAATGTGTAAGCACAACCTGTCTATTATTACAAAGTACAATGTCTAGAACTAACAATTTGAGAAAACGTTTTGGTGATTCTAAGGTAATTTTTAAAACTATGCGTTTTGTTTACTACTTTCTCAGAGAATTACTGACGCTAAGGTTTAGTAATATCAACTCATTGATTGATTTTTCTTCCTTTTTAGAAGCCACTAACTAGGTGGTTCACTAATAACTTATTCTAAGGTTTTTCAAATGCCACACGATCATCTTGGTAAAATTTGACTATAATACGCGTGTATATGTCATCGTGACAGGATTCGGTCACAATGACTGTTAGTAGTGAGGTGAAATCAAACTGTTTTCTCTTAAAATCTCTGAAGACCATTTAAAATCTGTTTAACTTATCATGTGAGAAAAAATGTAAACAATTTTACACTGACAATGCTATTTTTTTGAGTGGTATAGTTTCGTTTCACTGTTAACCAATCGCTATGCTAGCAACAAATGACATTTGTGTACATGATTTAGGGTTAAGTAAAAATTACCCAATCACAAAGAAGCATGTGCATGCATACAAATATACAAATAGATGATGACACATGCTATTAAGATAGTGAGATCGATAGTAAGATAAATAGCATAAAAATATGTCAGTCTTGATATTTTGGTTGTTATTCTCCGGAACCATTATGACACACAGTTATAACTGGGATTTTATAATTCTACTCCCCTCCTTAACTAACTGATTTGACTTATTTGTAATGAATGGAAGGTTGATGCCTGACAGTGAATCAGCGCCTGGGGGACCATGTGGACGACAACCAAACCAACTCATTTCAGTTAGTCAAAAAATAGACACGGAACATCCACAAAAATCAGTAATGCCAATGCAACAATATTATCACCACCCAATATCACCCAGAAGGTTAAATTATCCGCAACAACACTCTTATGATCAACAGCACCTTTTGGACAGTCACCATTTTCAGTGCTTTCCAGTGCAATCAGAATTGAAGTACAATTATTCTGATGAATCGTCTAGTTTCTATCAGCCAACATCTGTACGTAATTATCAATCGAACCATCAAACGAGGGTATCTGAACGCTTGCCTAAACATAAATATCTCAATCACCCATTTCATCAGAAACTTTTGGATCCTAATTTATCCATTTTACTCCATCCTCAAAATCAGTCAAATGCACCGACAGAGGCGCTATTTAGTGGGGCAATAACAGATGATGAACTCTTATCATCACAACCGCCTCCTCCACCATTACCACCTCATCATATCTTGTTTCTTCCTTCGTCAGAAACAGCATTTAAACCGATAAATCACCAGTATACTGAACGAAATGCATCATCCTCACAATCCATTCATGAATGCAATAGTGAGATTATTGATGCTGGTCGTGGTGGCAGTCATGGCTGTCCCATTGCTAATAGTAGTAGTAGGAGTAGTACGAAAATGAATTCCACACCAAATTTATTAGACCACCACGGTACAACCAATACTACTGTCAATACTTCTGAATATTTTAATCCCTTGTTGTACAAACATCGACAGTTACAAATGCAAATGCAGAATTTAAAACATTTACAACAACAGGACAAATATCAAGCTAGACTACCTACCTTATGGACTTTTTGTGGAACAACAAAGAGTACGGAGGAACTATTGAAAAGGCAAAAGAAAGTAAGTGATAAACTTATTTTTACCTGTTTAAGATTTCTTTTCACTGATACCCAGTCAATAACCTCATAACTAAGTGGTGCTTTTGACAAAGGTATCCTTACACTTGTGATTTCAAGAGGCAGATATAACGTTAACCTCTTGGTTGTCACCTTCTGATGCTTGGTGGGTTTTCGGAATGTCCGCCGCTATGTCTATCTTAACTAAAAGGATACTTTCAACAGAACAACAATAGTCATTTTGAAACCTGAAGAATGGTGTAAGGCTTAAGTGGGTGTGTAGTGTAAAGATATTTTCGTTATTATCTGGATGCTCACTGGAGCTTTTGTGATATCAAGGAGAAACAGTTGATCAACTATTAACCAATGCTCGGTGGACGTTTAAGGGAGTGAACTTAAAAGACACTTTACCTAAAAAAAAATAAAACCTACTTTTATAGCCGAAATAGTGAAATCTAATTCATCCATTTCAACAGTTGCCGCTATAACCTTAGCCTCAACTCTGTTTTTTACATGAACCACATAGTTCACACTGTTATGGAATGTCGAAGGTTATTATTATTATTAGTCCTCTGGGTTGTTAATGGAACATGGGGCTTCACTATCATGTCTCCATTACACTCCTTTCTCTGCAGTCTTCTTAACCTGGCACCACGACTGTCCACAAGCTCTCATTTCTTCCCCATACCATCTCCTCCATGTCACCCTCGCCTAGGACGCCCAACTCGTCGTTTACCCTCTGGATTCCACTCGAGCAACTGGCCTGTCACGTGATGTCCCCAGTCGGCCTTCTCACTGTATGCCCAATCCATCTCCACTTCCTTCCAGTGCACATTTGTTGGGCGATGGGTTCTTGGTTGCTTTGTTACCAGCCAGAGTTCCTTGTTGCTTATTCTTTCTGGCCATCTCATCAGATCTTCAGTACCGAGCAAGCGTAGGCGGCAGCTGTTGATGAATATCTGTAGTTTGTTGGAAATGCCTTTCGTGACGCTCCAAGTCTCTGAACCATCACATGGAAGCACTGACTTGACTGGATTGGTGTTGGAAATCCGAATCTTGTTCTTTGTGCTGAGTGCAGAAGATCTCCACACTGATTTCAGATTAATGAGGGCCTGTCTTGCTGCATTTTTGATCCTGGCTTCGACATCCTCATCTGTGCCTGTGCTGCCTGTAGTTGAAAGGAAGCTGCCTATGTAGGTGAGAGAGACTACTTCCTTTAGGTTTCTCCCACTGGTGCTGCTTGTTGTTGTTGTTGGTGGTGGTGGTGATGGTGGTGGTGTTGGTTGACTATCATCATCACCTCTGTCTTCTCTACGTTCACTTGAAGTCCTCTCTTCGCTGCCTCTTCTACCATCATGCTAGTTTTCTCCTGTACATCTTCGAGTTTGTGCGATATAAGGCATCAGACATAAATCATAATCAGCGAAATCCAAGTCTTGTAGGTTCTTTTCCGCAGTCCAGCCAACGTATTCCCTCTTCTCGCTCCCCACTATTTGATGCATGATCCAGTCCAGTCCAGTCCAGTCCAGTCGACCATAATCAGCAAGATCATGGGTGATAGTAGACAGCCTTGTCTTACTCCTGTCACTCTTCACTTCAAAGGCATCACTGAGTTTTCCATTGTGAATTACTTGGCATATGGCATCTTCATATAGTTGTTGAATGAGGCTGATAAAGGTTTGCGGTATTCCGTAGTATTGAAGCAGTTTTCAAATTACCTCTCGGTCGACGCTGTACAAGGCCTTTTCAAAGTCGATGAAGTTCAGGTAGAGAGTTGACTACCATTCTGTACTCTGTTCTATGATGATGCGTAGCGTAGCGTTGCAATTTGGTCCGCACATGATTTGTATCTCCTGAAGCTAGCCAGCCTGCCTGTTACAGTCGTAGTTTCGAATCCAGAGCATCCTTCAGTCTCTCTAGGATGATGCGGCTCAATATTTTGCTTGGGGTGGACAGGAGAGTGAATCCGTGCCAGTTCTTGCAAACACTGAGGTCTCCCTTCTTCGGCAGTTTGACAAGGTAACCCTTCTCCAATCAGTGGGTAGGTACCTTACCTTCCTTCCACACCTTCTGCAATAGTGGTGTGCGCATGACCGCTGTTGTCTCTGCATCTGTTCTCAGTGCTTCAGGCGGAATTCCATCTGGTTCTACTGCTTCCCTACATTTCAGTAGCTTTATGGCGTTCAGGACTTCCATTTTTGTTGGAGGATTTATGTTCACTTGCAGTTCAGCGGCTGGGCTGTAGGTGGTATTTCTGGACGAAGTGCAGGTGGTGATCGATTCAAGAGCTTCTTCAAATGGTCGGCCCATCGTTTCCTTTGTTTCCCTTCTTTCGTAATTAAATTTCCATCATCATCTTTCATTGGTTTCGTCTGCGTTGATCTCCTCCCACATAGCAACCCGGTTATTTGATACAATGCCGTCAGGTCTCTGTCTCTCCTACCTGCAGCCTGTTCTGCTTCACTTGCCAGTGTTTCGTAAAAGTGTCTTTTGTCTTTGTGCACACTCTTCTTCACTTCTTTGTCCAGTGTTTTATACACTGTACTCAGTTCCTCTTTACGTTGTGCGTCCTTGCACTGGTTCATCTTCTGCTTCACCATCCTCCTCTCCCTAATCTATTAGCTTCCATCTATCCGTCGAGATCCATTCCTTATCTTCTTTCTTCTTCCTTCCTAATACAGCTGTGCAGGTTTCTTTCCACATCTCTTTCAAGGAGTTCCAGTGTTCTTCCACACAGGTTTCTTTGGGGATGTTCCTCGATATCTCCCATTTTGTTCTGATGGCTGCCGTGAAGATTTATTTTGTAGTTTCATCCTTGAGTTTCGAGTGCTGTACTTGAGTTGCGGTCTATCACCAGCTTCCTTGAAGGCTTTTAACTTGATTTGGAAGGTTCCTTCCACTAGATAGTGAGTGGTGTAAACCTACATCTGCTTTTCTTCTTGACCTTGTGTCAAGTAGACTGCGCCTCCACTTACTTGAGATTGAGATAAAGTCGACTTGATTTTAGTGTGTCCATCTGGTGATATCCATGTCGCTTTGTGGATATCCTTGTATTTGTACGTAGTGCCTCCAATCACCAAATCGTTGAATGCACAGAATTCTGTAAACAATTCTCCATTCTCGTTCATCACCTCACCGAGCGCTTCTCGACCCTTGGTTACTTCTCTTCCTGTGTTGTCCTCCCCAAGTTTGGCATTCATGTCGCCCATTAGAATTTCGATGTCGCCAACTGCGGTGTGGTCTTGTCCAGTGTTGATTGCAATTGTCTGTGGAATTCCTTCTTCTTCTCTTCATCTGTATTATTTGTAGGTGCGTAGCGTAGCATTGTATGGTTGTAACTGTCCTTATTTTCGAGTTGAATCTCGCTGTCATGATCCTGGAGCAGGAGACTGGTTCCCTCTGTATGAAAGCCTTTGATGCTCTTGGGGACATCATGATAGCCACTCCGAAACTCAGTGTGTTCGTGGTTGTCGTCTGGGTAACAATATCGCAGTAGACTACTGACTCTCCAGTTGACAGTTTGGAGAGTCCACTTCCATTCCATCTGCAGACTCCTCGCAGATTGCTAGCACTTCAATGCTATACCTTCTCATCTCCTTTGTGATCTGGACAGCCTTGCTAGTTTGAAACACGGTGCGGACATTCCATGTCCCCACATTTACTTTCGCTTTCATCGTGAGACACATCAGCTGACTGGCTTCGCGAAGGCTTTCACCAACTGGCGTCATTTCATCTCCCCGATTCCAGTGAGGAGTATGTTTGCTTTTACTTTCTATATTTTCTTTGTGTTTTGACGTTTTTTTAGCCATTGGATTGGTTTTACGGGGCATGGTTGCTAGCCCTATGCCCAACGTTCCCTCTTTACCCGGGAATAGGACGAACTATTAACTAGTGAACTAGTTAACCAGGCGAGGTTTATCTCGAAGGTGTAGATTATTAATTATGGATAATGGATAAATTTGGAATTAAAGACACACATCTTCTCCTATTTAGGACATGTCGACCAGGCGTAACTATCTCTGAGAAAATGACTTTGTTCATCCCGGAGACTGGACCCAACACCTATGGTTTCAAGCTTTAGAGTGTTATCTACTTCGCTACTGAGTCAAGATGAGTACTTTTTGTGCGATGAGTGTAGTTTACATGGGACTGCTTGTAATTTCTCATCGTTGAGTGGACTAAACTGACCGCCTCCGTATTGGCAAATAGGCTTCATAGCGGATGTTTTGGTATCCTCGGGAATTTCAATTGGTATTAATGATGAATAGTGGCTAGCGGTGGGATCCAGGGAGAGTGTTATTTACAAAATATGTCATCGTTAAATCTGTGGGCTAAATTTTGGTGCTCAGTATTGCAGAGTTTGTTACACTGCATTAATTAGAGATGTAATGGAGACTAAAAGAGCTTATCATTTAGTAAACACGTTTCCTTTCTTACATTATGGTTCAACTTTTACAGGAATTCATAACATGCATGTATGTGGAGATGGGAACAATCTAGGTGCAGAGTGGTTTGGTGGAAAGGTTTTCAGTCCTCTTTGGTTGTTTAATGAGGTAAAAGTCGGTGGAATCTGTTGCTTGATCCAACGTATATCGACTCAAGATTAGGAAAACTACCAGTTGATTGGCTAAATATGTTCGGTCACTTCACGTTTACTTCAGCATCTTCAACTTTCTTGCGGATTCGCCTTTTCTTATTTATCCTCTGGGATATCTTTCTTTTGGTGAAATGAACTTTTTCAAATCCATGTAGCTCACGTTTAATATTCGTTATTCATTGATCCTGTACCAGGACATAGGCCTTATGAGATTCAAGAAGACTGGTGGGGTTATGGTATACTAGTCTGGCTATTTGGCTTACAACCATTCGGTCACGAATTTCAATCCCGCCACGCCTACCGAAGTTTGCGCAGCTAGGTAGTAAACATTAAGGAAAGATGTGACTGATTACCTACTGCCCAGCGCATGTAAGTGGCTGCTGAGTGATTTCGATCGCTTTTCGGGA